CAAGTCTCCATCTACGAAGAGCATATCGCCATCGCCCATGTACTTGATGGCCTCATCCATGGTCTGCTCTATCTCGCAGGCCTCGGGCAATGTGAACTAAGACTGCTGCGTGAGCACCCGATGAACTTCGCCGCGGTCCGACCCCTGTTCCTCGCATCCGTAACCATCTCTTTTATATCCGACAAAATACGCGGACGAACTCATGCCATGGGTGCGATGGCCGCCGCCGCCAGAACGCAACGGTCGCTCAAGCTTCTGAAGCATTCCGCGCGCAAGAAAAAAACAATATCCATCTGTCCAGTGCTCAGCGGCGCCCCAGGCAGCGTCGTTAAGCTTGGATGCTGTCGGAACACGTGCCCTTTCAAGTCCTCCAGCAGGGCCACGCGCTTCTCGAGTTCTCGGAGGAGCGCGCGCTTGCGCGCGATCTAGTTGACCAAGGATTCCTCTCGCTTGCGCTTGGTGTCTTCTGAAGAGGAAAGCTTTTCAAAAGCCTTCGGCATCCTGCGGCCCCGGCACTCGTCGAAAGCCTTCTGGGCGCGTTTCATCACAACCTGCCCACCGTCCTCGGGAGATAACTGGTCCTGAGTGAGTTCGTTAATAATGATCTTGAGGTCGTCTTTGGCATAGCAGTAAATGGGCATCCACGTTGTGTCTGCAAAGTTTTGGCAGTAGCGAGCCACGCCTGCATCTCCTTCCATGTTGGGGCCTAGGCGGACGCCCGGACTTTTTCCATCCCAAGTGGGAGGTAGGTCGTTTGATATCTTTGGGGCCTCCGATGTCTCAGGAAATTGCTCCCGCTGGCGATCAGAAGATCGGGCACTGGTATCTCCCCAATAGGTCGGAGAAAAAACAATAAAAGGCATAGCCGGTCCTCGCAGAGGCGCACTCAACCGATCTGGCGCAGCCGGCGAACCACGTCCCCGCCCAGTCCAAACCGATGAGGATCGTCGCGCATTGGGCTGCGTCTCCGTTCACGGCTGCGATAATCAGCGGGCCCAGTCCTGATTTGAGCAGCCCGCATTGTCATCACCTTCCCTAGGATCGTCCTGTCGTCCTCCAGCTCCTGCCCACGGGTCCTGATCTGGCAGCCATGGATCTGCTGAAGATTCACCTTCTTGAAACTGGGCGTCGCCTGGAGGATCCATGGCGTCGCTCGGCGCAACTGGGTAGGGAGCGAATTGAACGGAAGAAAGAGAATATAGGCCACCCGAGAATCGAATGACAGGGGGGTCGTCCTGACTCCCCTCGTGGATCTCGATCGCAGGATCTGCCACCGCTGTGGACTGCGAGTGCGCGGCTGCGTAGACGTAGAGAGACAGGCGCGCCACGATAACTCATGGGCCCTCGTGAGCCGACGCGGCGGCGCACGCGGGAGCGCAGAGAAAGGCGCGGGAGGGAGAGGGGCTGACAGGGCCCCTGCAACCACGGACTCTAACTACGAAGATGCTCCAAAGCACAATCTGGCCGCAGGCCTTGGTACATATGTGTGTATATATACACATATATGTATACACACATAGATGCATACGCACCTATATGATGCATTAGCCGGGCGGTGTAGAAGGCGGGCGAAAGCTCTTGTCAGCGAACCAGCGAACGGAAGCACTGCAGAACCGAGGTGGGCACGGCTCTGCAAGCCTGCTGAACTTGACGCCATTGGGATGGTCGCCGATGGTTTCGACGCGCCGCTTGCCTGAAAAAAGAACGGAGGCCTGGCCCTTGACAGGTTCAGTGAAGATGACCGCGCGAGAACTGAACATACAGAAACTTAATTCGTTTGCGATAGCGGGTCCCCCGGGCGCAGTTGTCAGTGAGCGATGCAAGAGTCGACACCTCGATTTTGGCTTAGCCCTCGAAGGCTTCAACATGTCAGAGGAGGCTCGTCAGAAGGTTCTTTATTGCGCAAGGGCGCCGAATTTTCTGCGCGAGTCGAGGGGGCTCGGTGCAACATAGCACAGACGACTGGCAATTCTGACGACGCGCTGGTCTGATGGTGACAGGGGGGGGAGGCCGAGAGGGGAGGCCCAGGTCCGAACAGGCGAGACAAAGCGCCGCAAGGGCGAGAAAGAGGAGCACGGAGGGGCCAGCCAGACAGCCGCAATCAGACCAGCGCGCACCCAGCCTCGACTTTTCCGCACGAGCCTCTCATTCAACAAGCCGAGGTGGGCCCCATGACGAACATCTGTCTCGACTATCTCGATGTGTCCCAGGGCGGCCGAGCGGCGCCCAGCACTGGCGAAATGTCCCGAGCCAGAGAAGAGCTAGAGTGCAACCTGTCGCCCGCCCATCGCAGCCCGCCGGACGGCGTCGTCAAGATCCTGCCGCCGACGCTGGCCGCCGCGGCGTGGGCGCGCTGCTGGGCGGCCTCGGGCGCCCGCTGCAGCTGCGCAGGCAGGGGGCCGCTCTTCTCGTGGCGGCGCGCGCTGCTGTCCGATGCCAACCGCCCGCGCTTCTTGATCTCGGCGAGGGGCCGGGCGCGAGTCGCCCGCTCGTGGCCGGCCCAGCCGCGGCGGAGCTGGCGCGGCGCGGGAGGCCCTGGCGCGCAGAGGCCCACGTCGACCGCGGCCTGGGAGAACAAGCGGGCCCAGGTCGCACACGTCAGAGCTCGCCAGCTGGGCCGTCGTCGACCCCGAAGGCCCGACGAGCCGCGCGGCGAAGGCACGGGCGCGTCGGTCCTGCTGGCCACAGGCATTGCCGCCGACTGGAGCATGCCGCGGCGGTGGCAGACGGGCTGGAAGCTGGTCGGCATCTCGCGGCCGACTCGAGGCCTCGGCCCAATCCCCCTTCGTTCGCCTCGAGCCGCGGTCTGCCAGATTGCGCTGGGAAGGGGCCCAGCGCCAGCGGGGGGTCACGCCGATGGCTAGGTGAGGCCCGCAATATGTCAGCTGACTCTCATCTGCTTCGAGGATGAACGACCCTTGGACGTGGCAAGGATGCTGGACATAGCGTCTGCCAAGAACAAGCGACGCTTCCCGAAGTTGGCCAACTTTCGTGTCTTGTGGAGGTGGGCCAAGACCACGATGCGGCCGTCGAGGATCACCCATCTTCTAACTGGAGTCCCGCGCCAGTCCCTGCCCCGCAAGTGCGAGCCGACGTCCAAGGGGCCTGGGAGCTCAGCGACTGGCTGGAGGCCGCGGCGGCCTCACGAGCAGGACCGCCAAGCAAGCTATCGCCAAGAGTAGCCAGAGCCCGAGCGCGATCCTGAGAGCGATATCCGAAGTCATCTCGACGGGAAAAGTTCCCCCTCGCATAGAGCTGCCCGAGCGACTTGACGACGTCGAGTGGCGCCCTGCTGCGCGACGCCCCCCCCCCCCCCCAAGACGAGGCGTCGACGGCCAGGGCGTCCTCGGCCCATGTCGCCCCGAGATCCCGAGAAGCAACAAGTACGGGCCCACCGGCCCAGCCCATCCCACGGCAAACAGAAGCCCGCAGGCGGCGGCGACGAAGTCCAGCGTCAGCTACAAAGAAATAACCATCAGAGAAGACACGCAAGAGCTCACAACGCAACGAGGCACGAGTGGCGCAACGCGACATGACGACCGTCGACGCATCCCCACTCATGCACCCATCGCGAAACTTTTGCTGGGTGGCCAGCGAGATACCCCATGCCGCTCGAAGGCCCTTTCCGACGGGGACACTCCCATCCGAAAAAGGACGAACCCAAGGCAGTGGCCCCAGGGCCCGATTGAGCAGGGCGAGTGGCAAGGTCAACGCTCTGCAACTCCTGATAAACACCTTCGGCCACAAGTCTGGCAAACTCACGGTCTTCGCCAATTGCGGAACAATTGCCGGCGCACTCGGCGCGAGCGAAGGGCAACGGGTTGGGGGGGGAATGTGGTAGACGACGGCGCTCTTGTCCGAGACGTCGGACACGGACCTGGCCCGGCGATCCAAAACCTGCCGGCGCGCCCAGATAGACAGCTTCCAGCCCATCGGGACTACATTCAGGACTGCGAAAAGGTGCTGCCCTCGCCTGAAAGCGCGACCCCGAGCTGACGAGACATTCGCCTGGTCGGCACGGATCCGATGGGGGGGCGAACATGCCTCGAAGAGCCTCTGGTAGCTGCACGATGTAAAACGCGTTAATGATGTCGACCGAGCCGACGTGGATTGGCGCTGCACTGTCTACCTCGATGGCGGAAAAGGCAGCCCCAGAGGCCAGCGAGACAAGGTCGCCGCCCCGGAAGTGGCGCGATGGTAACCGACCGTCGACCATGAAGCGATCTTGCCCTGACTTTCTATGCGCGAGGAACAGGCCGCGCGAAACCTCGCCAGACAGACGCCAATCAATCAGGTCGCAGTCGGCCATCCGCCGCAAGAGCTCCGAGCAAGGAGCTTGCGACCGCTCGGGGGGGCAGGATTTGATCGGGGACGAGCGGGCCCACGAAATTTAGCAGTCTCCCTGCCAGTGGATTCTGGCAAGCGCACGTGAATCAGTCGCTCGGCAACCTCTTCGCCCCGATCTCCAGCCAGGTGCTCGAGCGAGCGCGAAGTTGACCCGGCTGCTGGCAGGTCGACACGGTGGGCGGTGTCCATGCTGAGGGGGGCGATCGCGGTATCCTCGCCGTAGGCGCTCTTTGCCCGGAGCGCCCGCAGGGCTCCTGGGCCGCTCAAGTCGTCCGGCGGCGGGTCCATGGACAAGACCGACTGGCGCGACAAGTTGATGCTCGCCTGCTGGCTCGCCACAGGGCCTCGACTTAACCGTGGACAGTGTGAGCCACGTGTCATTAAGCGCGCCGGCAATCTCATCACACACCGCATCGACGTGATTGGCGCGCTGGAGCCAGCGACAAATGGACCTATTCAGCTTTGCAGCAGCTGCGCCAAAACCTTGGTGCAAAACTGGATAGGGACGAGGGACATGAAGCAGGTTCCGCTAAAAAAAAGTAGCTGAGAGCAGGCCGCCCCTTGGTCGCCAGTCCAGGAGGCCCCCCCTGCAGGTCATGCCCGAGCCGGGGCTGGCAGGGAGGCAACTCCAGCCACAGAGGGGTGAGCATCACCCCTGCTCCCGTTCTTGCGGTCCTGCTTGACCAGCTCCGTCATCTCTCCCATGGCCTTGCGGACCTGCTTGGGGATGGCGGCGTCTCGCTCGACCTCTGAGACCACGTGGGCTATCAAGTCCTGGCGGACCATCGCCACGCCAGGGTCCTTCGTCATCCCTCCCAGGAAAATCAAGTCGAAGACAGCGTGCTGGAGGGAGGTAATCGAAGTCATGCCCTGTCCCTTTACGTTGGGCCCACGCATGGCCAAAAAGTCCATGTGGTACACGTACCCCACCAGCAGCGCCTTCCGGAGGAGCAGCTCGAGGGCGCCGCTGTCGCTGACATCCACCAGGTCGTAGCAGAAGCCTTCGTCCAGGCATCGCGTGGAGGTGTGGTGGACCTCGACGCCCCCAGTCGTCGGCGAACAACCCGAAGGTCATGACCAGAGAGCGGTGGTGCTCCAGCGGACCGCCCTGTCGCCTGAAGAACCACTCGCACCACCACGTCACCGTCCGCGGCCCTGGGCCGGGCCAATCAGGAAAGGGCGACTGCCGCAACTCCACGACTGAGCTGGTGAAGTGTCCCCGCGTGCGGACCTGAGACGCTGCGATCGTGGCCTTGTTGAGCCTGTGGTCGTGGTGGCTCTCCATCACGCGGAACTGCTCCACGGGGTGGGCCTGCACGTCGCGCGCGAGCACCGCGACGCCCGACGGGGTGGTGAAGATGTCCGCCTCGCCCTTCACGGTGTCCGCCGCGCCCATGACGACGGGGGCCCCCCTGGCAGCGAAGGAGGTCGACTCCACTGTGACCCACTGCGCGGCGGCCGCGGCAGGGGCGGCGGCTGGCACCAAGGCGGCCGCCGCCGCGGCCGCCCCCCCTGCGCCAGGCGGGCCGCCGTCCGGCACGGCCACGGCTGGAGCTGCGAAAGGGATGAGGGCACCGCGGCAGTGGCCTGCTGCACGTAGAGGGCGTCGGCCGCCTGGCGGGCCTGGCCGATGAACGTGGCCAACTCCGCGGCGGTCGGGTCCCTCCGAAACCGTTGGGTCTGACCGCGATCGGTTCCAGGAGGGATAGAACGTCGATCACTCGAGAACCGCACGGCCTGGTAGTCTGGGCGAATGGCTTGTGCCATCTAGCAGCCCGAAGTTCACGTCAGCGTCGGGGGTGGCGTTCACCACCAGCAGGGGATTGACTGGAGTCACTCCCGGCGGCTGCAAGCGGCCCAATGCCCGACGTGGCTGCCATCCGCGGCCCCCGTTCTGCAAGATCCATGCCCAGAACTGGACGGCTCCTGACGTCGTGGCGCCAGGTGGACACGAAGCTCCTGGCGCCGCACAGGCCGACAATGGCGGCGAGGCTGGTGCACCCGGTCAAGCCCACCACGCCCGCCAAGAGGTCCCAGAAGCGTCCCGCGGCTGGCAGGGCGGCCTCAACTGGCTTCTCGGTCGTTGGCACGTCGGTGGCTCTGGGCAGGTCACAGGCGTCGGCGCCGGCGCTCCAGGGCACGCAGGGCAGCTCGGTACCGAGGGGCACGTCAGCTCGGAGGTGTATGGCGGACACTCCGGGCACGTGGGCGCGGCGGGGTACCGACCGAGGTATGAAACGATACCCGCTCCAAACCAATCGGCCACTCGGTTCCACATTAGAACCGAGCTTGCGCTTGAGCCATCAAGGTCACGGATCGAGACGCGCGACCCCACGACGGGTCATCCCCGAAACATCAGACTAAGAAGAACGTGCTAAACTCTGTGCATGATCAGAGCACTGGAACTGTGGAACACTTGCACGGATGGAGGGCTGATACCTTTCATAAGAGGGCTATCGCTGGACACTTCATCGAACTGTATCATCCGACCTTTTAGGTTTCTTCGGGCTTAAACAGTGGAAGGTGGACACCTTGCATGAAAGAGCCTGACCTGAGTGAAAGGTTGAAAGGCCCAGAAGGCGCTCTTCATTCAAAGGGGGCGCTTGGGACGTACGAGGACTGGATTTGGGACGGGAAGGTGTACTGCAACATACTTGTCCTCTGTTGACTCTCCTCCGTTCTTGGAGAACCGACCTCGCATGAGGGCTGGAGGAAAACTTGGAGGTGCTGGAGGGGGTCAGAGGGCGCCGGCGCGCCACAGACTGAGCTGGTAACTAGAGGAGGAGGGGGAGAAGAACGGATGAGAACGCAGGAGGAGGAGAAGCAGGAGGAGGAGAAAGAGGAGGAGGAGGAGGAGGGGGAGGAGGAGGAGGAGGAGGAGGAGGAGGAGCAGGAGCAGGAGGAGGAGAAGGAAGAGGAGGAGGTGGAGGAGGAGGAGGAGGAGGAGGAGGAGGAGAGAGGAGGAGGAGGAGGAGAGGACGCGCAGGAGGAGGCGGAGGAGCAGGAGGAGGAGGAGGAGGAGGAGGAGCGGCGAAGAAAGCTCACTCGCCTTCCAGGAGGCCCAAAACACGTTCACTGCAGCCGTGGCGGCGCGGGCGTCCGAAAGCAGCCGAAAGTCCACCATCCCCCGAAAAGCTCCTCCTCCTCCTCCTCCTCCTCCTCCTCCTCCTCGCCGAAAGTTTACGACCCCCCGAAGAAGCTCCTCCTCCTCCTCCTCCTCCTTCTCCTCCTCCTCCTGCTCCAATGCGCAAGAAATCAGACGACGACGACGAGCACGACGTCGACGACCACGTCGACTGGCACGACGACGAGTAGGACGACGACAAGCAGCGCGGCGGCCGCGGCGACGAGCACGTCGGCGACCTCGACGACGACGACGAGCACGACACGACGTCGACGACGAGCACGGCGGCGACGGCGACCGCGGCGGCCGAGGCCGCCTGCGGAGGGCCTGCGCCTGGCTTCGCGCAGGCTGGCCCTGCAGGGCGTGGGGGGCGTCGTCGTCGATCTCGCCGTCGTCGTCGCCGCCGCCGCCGTCGTCCGTGTCGTCCTCGTCGGCCTCGTTGTCCTCGTCCTCGTAGTCGCCGTCGCGGTCGTCGTCGCCGCCGTGCTCGTTGCTGGCGTCGCACTCGCACTCGTCGTCGTCGAGGTCGCCGACGTGCTCGTCGCCATGGCCGCCGTGCTCGTCGTCGTCGTCGTACTCGTCTTCGTGCTCGTCGACTTCGTCGTCGTCGTCGCGACCGTCGTGCTCGTTGTCGACGTCGTGCTCGTCGTCATTCCTGTCGTCCTCGTCGGCCTCGTCTGGGACGCACAAGGACATGCTAGTACCATGCATCCTCCTCGGAGGCGTGCGTCCGCCCCGAGATTATAGCACATCAGTGTTAGCGTATCGTTTCCCGAGCGCTACGGCCAGAAAGCGCCCGCCACGAAGCATGTACTTGAAGATTTCTCGGAGCGCGCGTCGCCTATGGGGGGCGACGCGCATAAAGTATTAGTATGTTGGGGTGACGCCGATCGTCGATCTTGTCGTTCTTGTCCTCGTCGTCCTTGGCGGGAAGCCCCCCCTCCGATCCATCCATGCTCCTTTCGTTTCTTGGCGTTGCGCGGACTTTGGAAAGCGTCCATATTGAAGCGATCTGGTCGCATAGCCAGAGCACACGAACAGCAGCAACAAATCAAACTGGGACTGGAAGTGCGAAGAGACCTGGGAACGCGGGGAAGCCCTCCAGGGCGGGAGTACGAGACTGCGGTGAAGGCGATCCTCCCTTCTCCTCTTCCTCCTTCTCCTCCTCCTATTCCTCCTCCTCCTCCTTCTCCTTCTCCTCCTCCTCCTCACTGCGTTCTCCTCTCCCTCCTCCTAATAGCGAATGCCCCCCCTTTTTGCACCACCAATCCCGTGTTGTCCCGGGCGGCCCGGGCGTTTCGCTCGAGACGTCCTCCCCGCTTCTGTCCCGGAACCCTGACGTCTCAAGCCGGAACGGCTGCATTCGGGCTGGGCGAAAGGGGGGGATAGCAAAGGGGGGGTTGAGAATCCGCTCACATAGCTGATTTTCCCGGCGCCGGAGGCGGCCATGTATCGAGGAATGGGCCTCTCGGTGGTGCCGAAACCAGCTGCATGCAGCAGATTTCGTAACCCCCCTTTCCCTATCCCCCCTTTCGTCCAGCCCGATACAAGGACAGACGGCGGTTCCTTTCAGAATTGGGCTCTCGCCTTTCTCAGAATGGGGATCTCGCCCTGTCGCCGCGCACACGCGTCCCGAAACGCCCAACACCTACTGTGCTCGGTGGCGATGTCCGTCCAAAACGAAACTCTCTCGCCGTAGCGGTGCGCGCATTCGCCTGCAAAACAACAACTAGTACTACACGGATGGAGGGCGGTACCTTTTCATTCAAAATAGGATTATCGCGTTTGGCGCTGCGCGCACCCGTCGCAAAACATCAAAATGCTACAAGGGTGGATGCCAGAGCCTTGTAGACATGGTAACCTCACCTTGTCGCAGCACACCCTCGTCTAAAAATCAACAGATATACAGATGGATGGCGGAAACAGTTCAAAATGAGGTTCTTGCACTGGCACTGCGCGCACACGTCATTTAAGCAAAAAGCTACACGGATGGAGTGCGGCACCTTTCTAAATTGAGGCCCCTCCTGGAAGCCTCCTTAATATTGATGACACAAAGTGCACACTTGCGCAGCAGTTCGACGAGTGGAGGCTCCTTTCCAAAATGGGCCTCTCGCTCGAGATATGCGCGAATGCCCCCAACCAATGTTTGCAATCTGGGTGCGCCTCCCGTGCTCAATTGGCGCTTCCGCGTCACGGCCTGCCGCTCCGACCGCGCGGAGCGTCGGCCAGCACTGCGATTAAGAACAATGCTTGCACTTTGGGGTTCTCACCTCTGTTCCGGGTGGGCTGTGAGACTTTCGCAGGGAGCCCGTGGACGCATCGTGGGCGCCCGTGGACGGATCGTGGGCGCGAGGCGCAGTGCGCTTCACTCGCCCGATGGCCGCAAGTGGGCGCACCTTGGGCGCCGGTGCGCTGGCTGGGTCTGTCAGGTGTTCGCCCGGTGGCCGCCCGTGGGCGCACCACATAGATGTCACTGCTGTTGCATCGGCGTGTACGCGTGTGTATGCTTGTGTGTAACTATATATATATATATATACATATATATATATATGGCTTTACGGTCTCATGCCACCCTGTGCTTCTCGCGCGCAGCTGCGAGGTCGGAGGGTGCATCCTCTGCACGACGGGCTCGCACCCGAGCGGCGGCCCCGCGGGCCGCTCGTCTTCCAAGGGAGGGGGCGCTATTCCCGAAGCGGAGCACGTGCAGGGACGGGGGGCTTGGGGACGGGAGGGTGCTGTGTAGCGTAGTTGACGCCTCCCGAGATTACTCTCGTCTCCCCCCCACCTCCTCCACCTCCGCCTCATTCACCTCCTCCTCCTCCTCCTCCGCCTCCTTCACCTCCTCCTCCTCCTCGACCATCCAAGATCGAAGCGATTTACGATTTGGGGCGTGTCTGGCTCTCCTCTCCAGACACCAGGGGGTGCGGCCTGTGGTATTCTGAAGTGTTCCTGTCTTTTGGGACTCCTGGAGACCGAACGTGGCTCGAAAAGCTTCTGTCAAGATGGATTTTGGGAGGGGACTGAGGGGCCTGGAGAACAGATTCGAGCGCTATGTTGCGGGTGAAATGGAACGGGACGCCACCTTCCAATACTTGGGGGCGTTCAAGAGGGCGGCGCGGAAGAGGGGTGCTAGCAAATCGTGGCCCGAGGCACGTGCGCCGCTGGGGGGGGGGGGTCAGGGGGGACGCACTGAGACACTTCATGGCCCCAGCCACGATATCCATGTGGCGCATTCCCCAAACCCTGAACCCAGAAAGGTTGTCATCTATTGGGAGGTCGACTTTTACTTCCGCCTGCTTCCGCCGGCGGAGCCGCCCTCATTTGACTTCCGCCGACCTTCCGCAGCGGAAGAGATGCACCTTCTCCGATCCTCGAAGTGAAGACCGTTTTTGGAGCGCCCCGCACACACACACAAGAGAGAGAGAGAGAGAAAAAAGGAAGGGGGCCTCTTGGAAAACATCGGCAGCTTCTACGGAGGCTTCCCAGGCGGCAGGAGGGCCCCTGCGGGTGCCCCCCTGACGCCTTTTCGTGAGGGCCGCCCCCCTGACGCCACCCTGCAGAATGACGACGACGCATCGACGTCCTCGTCGTCGTCGATGTCGTCGTCGTCGTCGTCGTCGTCGTCGTCGTCGTCGGCGTCGTCGGGGGCGGCTTCGTCGTGGTCGTGGTCGTGGTCGTGGTCGTGGTCGTGGTCGTGGTCATGGTCGTCGTCGGCGTCGGCGTCGGCGTCGCCGTCGGCGTCGTCGTCGTCGTCGTCGTGGTCGTGGTCGTGGTCGTGGTCGTGGTCGTGGTCGTGGTCGTCGTCGTCGGCGGCGGCGGCTGCGTCGTCATCGTCGTCGTCGTCGTTGTCGTCGTCGTGGTTGCCGTCGTGGTCGTCGTCATCGCCACCGTCGCGACCGAGCGGGAACAATTCAACACCCGCGCGGACGGCGCACTTCCGCCAGCACGGGGCCCACCACCCCCAGAGATCCGAGGGTGCGGTGAGTTTCCGCCTGCGGCCGCACGAGCTCAGACCCATGTCTGATGGTCCCCTCGACCGCCGCCGAGGAGGAGAAAGAGGAAGAGGAGGAGGAGGAGCAGGAGGAGGAGGAGCGAGAGGAGAAGGAGGGGTAGGAGGAGGAGGAGGGATACGAGGAGGAGGAGGGGCAGCAGGAGGAGGAGGAGGAGGAGGAGGAGGAGGGGTAGCAGGAGGAGGAGGAACAGGACGTTCCCCCTCGACCGCCGCACCGCCGCATCCCCGCGGGGCAGTCGTGCGTCCCAGATCCATCGTCGGAGGACCCCGGGGCGCCCGCCGCGCGCCGACACCGGGCAGCAACGCCGAGACTGCGCCAGAGCACACCGTCGGAGATCCGGCGGTCCACTCCCCGAGGCGGCCGCGGGGCCTCCACGTGTGGCCCTGGGGGGGGGCCCACGCGGGCCTCCGGAGAGGCCCAGGGTCGCGAGCAGAGCGACGGCCGCAAGCGCCGAGGGGTTTTATACGCCGGTCACGAGAGAAATGCAGTCGGGCTGCTGAAACAGGGAACGATCAGTAAGGAACGAAGCCCCTTTTTGGCCACCCAAGGCGCCTGCGTGCACGAGGGAGAGTTAGAGGAACAGCCGTGGAAGGACCTGAGGAACATGGAGCTCCTTCCGAACCCAACCTGTTCCTTATTCAGCGTCTTGGCTGTAGGTAGACGCATGAAGTAGGGAGGCGGGTAAAGTACATTGGGCTCGGGCTCGCCCAAAAAATAGCAAAGCAACAGAGCATGTCGGTTCTTGAATCAGGAAGGCGCTCGAGGTAGAGTGGGATCTGTGAATCCAGACGTACATACTCTCAACGACCAACGTGTACGCCTACTCTTCGCCTGTCGCTGAATGCTACCATCCGCGCAAGCAATGAACTCCACACCCTTCCCCGCAGGGTTTCAACGCCGCGGTCTACAGCCGACTACACAGATGCGCGCACAATATCGAGCCCCAGTGACAGCAGACGCCAGCCCCCAGGCAAGCTGACAGATTCCTCCGGACAACGCTTGCACCCAGGAGCTCATGATCCAGCCCCGGGCAACATCATGTTGATACCCGCGTTGTACGTGTCCCTGCGGGGTCCACGCTGGCTGACATCTGTCGTGGCATTCTTGACCTGCTCTCAAATGCACCTCAGACAAGGTGCCCAGACCTCCGACGCCCCAACATCTCCAACCCGCGCGGCCCGCGGCAGTTGGCAGAGACCTCGACCTCGCACGCCCGAAATGGGCACGGAGAAGATGCCCAATAGTAACTGCTGTCCAACTCCGACAGCGGCCGCTATGAGGGCAGGCACCCGCGTGCCTCACAAGGGCAACGTCCGCGGCGACACCGACAGCGAATCCTACCCGAAATGGACAGGAAGGGCTGTTGTTGGAGGCCTTGGAATGGGCACCAACACCAACACAGTGGGTTGCCTCCACATGGGGAAGAGGATCCTAGATTTCGGTGTTGGTGGTAATATTTCGGCCACCTTGGAAGCCAAAATATTACCATCATCACCGAAATCGGGATCTTCTTCCCTCGGTGGAGGCACACCGCCAATATTGGTGTTGGTGTCAACCTCTAGGCCTGCGATGTTGGTCTTCGTCCCATTCGTTCTGCAGCGGAGGCCGAAAGTGCCGAATCTCGATTCGCGCCTACGGATGCCTGAGGCCTGGGCGGCGGCGGCGCTTACGACGACGACGACGACGCCGACGCCGACGGCGGCGGCAATCGAGCTGTGGAGGGCCAACCGAAGGCCGCCGAAGACCTCGACTGGGCGCCTCGCGAGAAGGCCGCCCGAGGGCCGCCCGAGGGCACCCCGAGGGCACCCCGAGGGCCGCCGAGGGCCGCCCGCCCAGAGGGCCTCCGGCGGGCGGCGGGGGGCCTGCCGGAGCGGCCAGGGGCGCGCCGTCGGGGAGGCGCTGCGCGGGGCCGTCGGCCGGGCGCGCCCCGAGCTGCCAGGGGGGCGCGGGCGGCGCCTGGAGGAGGAGGCCCCGGCACGCGGCGCCCGGGCTCGAGGGTCGACTCGGGCGGGTGCCAGGGAGGGGGGTGGCCCAAAGGGGGGGCGAAGACCGGGGCCCCACTGTAGAGCCCTTTTGTGGCCTCTGCTGGCTCCAAGAGAGGCCCTAAGATGTGGGTCACCCCTTGCTTCACCCCTCATCTGGGTCACCTCCCATTAGCACCCGCCCGTGTCGATCGGGCGCGGCTGGACCAGCCCCTGTCAAGCCATCCCCTTCCGTGACGTCCCCCTCGCAGCTTCCCTCCAGCCGCACAAATACACGTCGGCCGGAATAAGTAGGTCAAAGCATGAAGTAGGGAGGCGGGTCAAGTAGATTGGGTTCAGGCCCTCCGAGGGAATGACAGAGCACAGCAAAAGCAGATCGGCTCTTGAACTGGGAAGGCGCATGAAGTAGACTGGGATCTGCAGCTGGGAATCCAAAAGGACCTACCTGCTTTCAACGATCGGCGTGTACATCTTGGGGCGAGGCGGGGGGGGGGGCGTCACGGGAGGGGACGGTTTGCTACGGGTCGGCCAGGCCGCCCCTGAGTCGAGGGTGGAGGAGCGAGGCTCGGGATCCGCGGGTCGAGGGCCCGAGGGGCCGAGGCTCTTCGAGGGCAGGTCCGGGCTCGAGGCTCGAAGCCCGAGGGGTGTCGAGGGCCGCGGGCGGAGGGTCGAGGTCAGAGATTTTGGGGTCCAGGGCCTGAGATCGGAGTCTGAGATGTTCGAGGTCCAGAGGCTCGAGGGTCGAGGTTCGCGGACTCCCCCTTCCTCCTCCGCCCCCCTATCCTGCTGTTCCCCCTCCTCCTCATCCTCCTCGTCCCCATCGACAATTATTCAATATGAATATACTCTCCCTCTTCCCCTGATGGCGTCCGGGTGATAGCCGCGCACCCTCCGCGTACTGTTTCTTTGTACACAGGATGCCCGGGAAATCCCGGGAAACGACTCTCGCTGAGGCGCCGGCGTCATTTTTGCCCAAAATGCTGCTCTCGCGCCGGCGTCATTTTTCCCAAAATGCTGCTCTCGTTGAGGCGCCGGCCTCATTTCTGCTCCCGAATCCTTCCCTTGATGGCGTCCGGGTGATAGCCGCGCAGGATGCCCGGGAAATCCCGGGAAACGACTCTCGCTGAGGCGCCGGCGTCATTTTTGCCCAAAATGCTGCTCTCGTTGAGGCGCCGGCTTCATTTCTGCTCCCGAATCGTTCCGAATCGTGCTCCCGCTGCAACGTGGGCCTCATTTTCGGATCGGTGTGTTGGCCTCCGTCGTCAGGGATGGCGTTCTCGCCCAGCGCGGGCTTTTTCTCGCGCGCCCCATCCGCCCGCCCCACCGCGCCGCACCGTCACCACCACCACCACCAACACACCACCACCACCACACCACCACCACCACAACCACAAACCACCACCAGCACCAGCACCAGTACCAACACCACCACCACCAGCACCACAACCAGCACCACCAGCACCACCACCCACCACCATCACCACCACCAACACACCACCACTACCACACACACCACCACCACACCACCACACCACCACCACCACCACCACCACCACCACCACCACCACCACCACGCACACACGCACGCACGCACGCACGCACGCGCACCACCACCCACTACGCACACGCGCGCGGAGCCACAGGTCCGCTACGACACGCGTCCGCGGATAGAGAAAATCAGCGCCATGGTAAGGGATGGGAGGGAGGGGTAGGACGTCAGATATAACGCGAGTGCACCTAGCTTGTCCTCCTCCCCCTCCTCCTCCTCCTCCTCCTCCGCCCCCTGCCTCTGGCCTCCCTGCTTCTCGTCCCCTCGCCTGCCAATCTGCTGGTCCTCCTTTGCCTCCCCGACCCCGCCTCCCACTCCCCTTGGCTCGCCTTTCCTGCGTGCTTCGCATTGCCCCCTCGGACGGGTAATTCGCCAACCCTTCTTCGGCGTGTGTGAGACGCTGTGGTCGTCTTCGTCGTCGTCGCCAGTCCCAAAGAAATATATATATATATATATATAAAAAAAAAAGTCGTTGTTAAGCCGATTTCGTTCCGTTATTCCCCTCCCTGACGGGAAAAGGGGGTAGGGGGGGGGGTTAAGGGGGGCCCCGGGTCAGATTGCCGCCGCCGGGGATCCCTGCGGGCCCCGGGGGATGGTCCCACCTGTCTGCGGACAAGGGGGGACAAGGAGGGTTCCCCGTTGGAGGAGACCAGCCCTGGTTCGGGTTCTGGCCCCGGCCCAGGCCTCGAAATCCCTGGAGGAGACCAGGGCGTGTTTCTTTATGTTCGGCGATGACAGGCGTCATGGTGTGTGTGTGTGGGGGGGGGGGGGGCGAAGGGGGGTATGTATGACGTAACGCCCCCCCCCGCCGTGTCGCTCCGGAACCGCAGCCGCGCCCGCGCGCGCGACGCGACGAGCGACGAGCGACGAGCGACGAGCGACGAGCGACGACGACGACGACGACGATGACGACGACGATGACGACGACGACGACGACCACGACGACGCGAGCAGCATGTAGGTGGCGATATGCCCCAGTGCGCCTGTGTACACCACAACGCTCGCGTGCACTACAGCGCGCGTGTATACCACAACGCCTGCGTACACCGCAACAACCGTGTGCAACGCAGCGCCTGTGTACACCACAGTGCTTGCGTATACTACAGCGCCGGTGTAGATGTGTACACCGCAGCTACCATGTGCAACACAGCGCCTGTGTACACCACAGTGCTTGCGTGCACCGCAGCGCCTGTGCAAGCCACGGCGCGTGTCTACACCACAGCATCCGCGTGCAACGCAGCGGTGGTGTACACCACAATGCCTGCGTGCATAGGACAGGTAGAAGGAGCATGTACGTGAGGGTCTGCTGCGGACAACTAGACGCCACGCCCGGAAAGTGCTGATAATCGAATGCGACGTTCTTCCCTCCTCCCTCCTCCTCCACCTCCACCACCTCCTCTTCATCCTCCTCCTTTTCCTCCTCCTTCTCCTCGTCTTCCTCCTCCTCCTCCTCCTCCTCTTCCTCCTTACCCCCTGTCGTGCGGATTGGCGCTACAGCGCACGTGCGCATCTCAGCGCGCACCGCAGAATGGTTTATTGAATCGGTCCACTTGGTTCTCGGACGGCCAATTTAGCTCGAGCCTCCTGGACGCAAATGGGAGGAGTTAGGGTGATGCGGGCGGACTCGGGAGGACTCGTAGATTCCAGCGGCGCTCCGTTGTCCATAAGGATTATTTTGTATTGTTTTCTGTGGAATCCACAAACGCTCCATTTTGTCAAAGGATTCTTTATAACATCATATGTACAATTGGGGTGCTGTGTTGCACACGGTCGCTGTGGTGCACACAGGCGCCGTGGTGTGCACAGGCACTGCAATGCACGCAGGCGTTGTGGTGTACACTGGCGCTGTGTTGCACACGGCTGATGTGGTGTACGCAAGCGCTGTGGTGTGCACGAAAGCTGTTGTGCCCGCAGGAGCGGTGGCACAAACTGACGCTGTGTTGCAGGCGGCCGCTGTGGTGTACATAGGCGGTGTGGTGCACACAGGCGCTATGGTGCACGCAGGCACTGTGGTGTACACAGGCGTTGTGGTGCAAATCGCCACCTACATGCCTGCGCTACCCGTCCTCCGTCATTCGTGGGCATTCCCAGATGCCGCCGGCGCGAATCGTGACGACATCGACCCCCTCCACCCCCTCCCAAGATGATTGCGGTCATCGGCCTGGAATAAGAAAACAGACTTCAGCCGCGTCCGCGCGCACGACAACTAAGAGCGACGAGCGACAAGCCACGAGCGACGACGACGACGACGATGACGACGACTGCGGACCAGACTCTTATGTGGATTCCAACGCGCAGACACCTACGCGGGAAGGGCCACCTCCTCATATCTGTAGGACAAAATCCAAAAACAAATCATTTGACAAAAAACATTGAACTTACTTCCATAGCTCTTAACTGAAACGTGCCGACCTGCGTTGGGCGATCTGCGAATTCAACTCTGATGCTACCTCCCGCCCCGAATAATGGCTCTCGCGTTGACGCTGGTCTCGCGCCGCGTGCAACGCGGACGGACTAGGTGCTGTTCTTGGTGAGGCGCTACTTTGTTGCGCACGCGCGGGCGCGAACTTTCTGGGCGCGCGGAAAGCGCGACGACAAATCGCCCGACCAAAAAACCGCGTGATAAATTTGCCCCTTGGTCAGATTTCCCTGGGAATTAACCATGCGAGCTGAGCTTCCGCAATTTCTGTTGCAGGCCTTTCAAAAGCATTGTGTCGTCGCCCGGATTTTGTCGCAGCTCTGCGCCGCCAGCGGATTTTGTCGTCCGCCTCTTTTTGGGCAATTGCTTTCTTCTGTGAGTTGAATTTGTCGTCGGCCTTTTTTTGGTCGTCGGCCTTGTCGTCGGCCCTTATTTTGTCGTCGGGCTATGTTTGCTTGTGTCGTCCGACATGTTTGGTGGCCTTCACGATCGGATTCAAAGTTTTACTCGGGGTCTTCAACATTGTCAAGGTCTTTCGAGGCTGGATACATATTTCATGCCTTTCACGTTTCCCGAGTCCCCATCATCCCGTCCGGAAGCGGTGCCCAAGAGTTGCTCATGGAGGTTCGATTCTTGGCCCTCGCCCGCCCCCTCGAGAGACCGTGCGCAACCGCTGGGGGGGGCTCCACTCTAACAGCGTTTGAGACGCGCGACGGGCGCCACGGCTTCATGCATAACAAGCGAACGGATGTGATCAAACAGTTGTGCCGTTCGTCGCTCGGTGATCCTGTGGAAATGCGGGGAGTGAGACGGGGGCAGGGGACGGGGGAGGGAGAGGAGGGAGGGAGGAAGCGCTGGGGTCCGCTGGCGTCAGCCTCCCCCGACATCTGGGCGCCGTGGGGACGCAAACGAAGGTGCAACCGGCGTGCTGGCCGGGCCCCAGGCCCCTAAGGCCCTCACCGATGCGGTCTGGCATGGGCACGTCCCAAACAACAGATGCAGGAGA